CTTGAGGCTTGACACCAAGGCTCGGGCTCTTCATCACAAACTCATCCTTGAGTTCTTGATGGGTCTGCTGCACACACCTGCGACACGCCGAACGTTCGACACAGGACAAAATAGAAACCGCGCACGACAAAATAGAAACCGCGCGCGAGACACAAACGACCGCGTAACACGCGTCTAGCGATAACTCGCTATTGACTCGACACACACACTCGACATCATGACTCAACATTCACACACAATTATAAGCATGAAATATATATTATCCCATGCCCTCATACCATTCCATACACACACACATTCACGCACACGGACAACAAGCCGAGTGCAAACCGTAGGGTTGCACCAACAGAACCAGCACCTCCACCACCGACACCCCCGGGGCCTCCAGTACCTCCCGCAGGAACACCCCCAGGCTCCGCAGCAACCGGCGGCAGAGAAGAACGAGGGGGAAACCGCGGGACGGACGGGAAGCCAGGGGGTGAGGCGGGGCGAGGCCGCCGACTCGAGGCTGCCGTGTCCTCCACAGGAGTGACCTCCACTCCCACAACCCCTGCACCCCCAGGGCCGACACCACCAGCTCCTGCAGCCCCAGTACCCTCACCCTCCGCAACTGCACCTCCCGCACCCCCAGACACGACAGGGACTGGACGCTGCGGGGGGGACGACTGCGGAGTGACGTGCGACACACCTGACGGGGCAGGACGCGAAGGAGGGGGGTCTACCGGGGCGACTGGGGGAGGCTCAAGGGTGAGGAACAGCGGGGGGGAAAAGACCTCAGTACCTCGGTGGGGGCGACTCCTGTAGTAACAGACAGACTCGTCGAACGTGACGTCCTGAGAAGCGAAGAACCCGCAGGTGACCGGGTCGTAGAACACCCAGCCGGAGGCGTCCAAAGGAAAGCCAAGGAAGACGCAGGCACGAGTGCGCGGAGACAACTTGTTCGCGCCAGGGGCGCGAACGTGAGCCAGACAACTCCAGACACGGAAGTCAGCTGCTACACCCTGTAAACCTGACCAGAGAGAGACCGGCGTCACCCGTGGCCGTGCGTCACTGGGCCACAGGTTCAGCTGGTGCGCGGCGTAGCGGACCGCCTGAGGCCACAAGAACTGAGGGGCACCGGCATGGCACATGGAGGTCCGGGCAACCTCCATGACTAGGCCGATGCGACGCTCGGCTACCCCGTTCTGCTGCGGCGAGGCTGGTAGCGTGTACGACTGAATGACTCCCCGACCCTGACAGAACGTCTCCAAACGAGTGGAAGAAAACTCACCACCACGGTCCGAGTGTAGGCGAAGCCCACACAGGCCCTGGGCACCACCCCACGCTAGCAGCCACGGCTCGAGGACGGTAGGCACGTCGGCCTTCCGTTGCAAGGGGAAAACCGTGGTGTAGCGGGAGTAGTCGTCCACCACAATCAGGAAGTAACGCTCCTGACGTGGTCCAAGGACCGGGGAGGGGCCCCAGACGTCCAAGTGCAGGGTCTGGAAGGGAGCCGTGGTGGGGGGGAACGAGGAGGAGTGAGGGGCAGCGCGCTGCCGACCCTCGACGCAAGGAGTGCACAGCGGCGCAGGCGAGCGAGGAAGCGGGGCAAGCGACTCTGGGAGACCTGAGACCAGACGGTAACGTGCCATCCTACTAAGACGTGGGAACGACGGGTGACCTAGACGGTGGTGCCAGAGGACAGATGGGTGGGTGAGGGAGCGACAGTCGCACGACACAGCAGCTACCTGACCTGACCTGACCTGGCCTGACCCAGTGCGGTGGGACCCAGTGTGTAGTGAGTACAGACCAGAGCCCGGCTCCCTGTGAAAAGTGGCCAGAGGGGCCCCAGTGGTACCGACTGTGCAGGAGGCAACAGGCTCGTCCAGTGGGAAAGTGGTGACTACACCTAGGTCGTGGAGGTGACTGACACCCACCAGGTTCCTAGAGAACGAGGGGGTGTAGTAACCTGTAAGAAAACCTGAGGGAGTCGCCGGACACGGGAGAGTGGTGGTGCTGCGAGCAACTACACGTCCCACAGAGGGGTCAGCTAAGGCGACAGTGACTGGAGTGCGCAGTGGTGTGAGGTCAGTACAGTCGCGAAAGAAACAGCTCGACGCTCCAGAGTCTAGGGTGAAGGAAAGCTGTGCAGTCTGTGGGGTCGCACTCGAACCAGCTACAAAGGCTAGTGCTAGACTAGTGGTAGCTGCAGCTCCTACACAAAGACCCTCAGAGGCGCCTGGACTGGAAACAACACACGCACCAAGACTGGAAACACAGGTCTCTACTCGTGCAGCCGGGAACGGTCCTAGACCAGGTAGGTGAGACTCAACTAGTGCAGCAGTGCGCTGGCGAAGTCGCGAGGGCCAGTGCGGTGTAATAGCATGAGGACCAAAACGCTCACGGTGAAGGTCGTCGAGTCGACGGTAGCAGCTGGACGCAGAGTGGTCAGGACTCCAGCAGGTAGTGCCAGCACCAGGGCCTGTCAGGGCCCGGTACCCGCAGGGGCCGACGTATCGCCCACTGCTAGCTGAGCCACTGCTGAGGGTTCCACACTTTGAACCCGCAGGTCCCCACTGCCGGGAGTGCTGCGGCTGGCCCTGCTGCTGTAGGACTCGAGTACAAGCCATGTGAGTAGCTAGAAACGGGGGTGGTGCTGGCAAGTGGGCCTAAACTGCTGCTGACGGTAGGCTATCCTGCTGCTGGTTCAGCTGGGGGCAGTCTAAGCTGCTGCTGGTGCACTAGCGGTAGTCTAAGCTGCTGCTCGAGTGCTGGGGCAGCCTAAACTGCTGCTACTGGTGCTGCTGGTACAGGTGGGGCACCGGGTGCGGTTCTGTGCGGTTATGTGCAGTTCAGTGCGGTTCTGCGGGGTGGAGAGTACCGGGTGGGGCGGCTGATTCCGGGTGAGGTGACTGGAACGGGTGGGGCAGCAGCTCTGGCTGGAACGGGTGGGGCAGCGGGTGCGGTTCTATGCGGTTCTGTGCAGTTCAGTGCGGTTCTGCGGGGTGGAGAGTACCGGGTGGGGCGGCTGATTCCGGGTGAGGTGACTGGAACGGGTGGGGCAGCAGCTCTGGCTGGAACGGGTGGGGCAGCGGGTGCGGTTCTATGCGGTTCTATGCAGTGGGGAGTACCGGGTGGGGCGGTGTAAGTTGCTGGCTTTGCTAGGGGGTAGTTCAAGTTGCTGCTGGTGTGACTGGCGGCAGTCTAAGTTGCTGGTGGTGCTCCTGGCGGTAGACTAGGCTGCTGGCGACGGGTGGGGAAGGTAAGGCGGCGGTTCTGTGCGGTTCTATACGGTTCTGTGCGGTTCTGCGCGATTCTGCACGGTTCCGTGCGGTTCTGTGCGATTCTGCACGGTTCTGTGCGGTTCTGTGCAGGGGAGGGTACTGGGTGAGGTGACTGGAACGGGTGAGGTTGCAGATATGGCTGGGGCGGCGGGCTACAGGTGAGGCAGTGGGAACGGGTGAGGGCGGCAGAACTGGTAGGGGCGGCCTGTTAAGGGTGGGGCGGCAGAACTGGGAAGGGGCGGCTATTCTGGCTGTGGCGGCTTGCTAAGGCAGTGGGGACGGGTGGGGCGTCGAGCTACGGGGAAGGCTGTGGGACGGGTTGCAGGTGGCGCGGCGCGCAGGCCGCACGGGCTGCTGTGCGAGCGGACGGGCGAGCAGTTGCGCGTGCTGCTGTGTGTGCCGTCGCACGCGGCTGCGCGCGCGACCGTTCGTACGGGTGCGTGCGACTACGCGAGCGGATGTACGGGCAGCGCGACGGGGGGAAAAGGTAGGGCGCGACGGGGGAAAACGGGCAGGTCGCGACGAGGGGGGGGAGAGTAACGACGCGACGGATCTGACGCGTGAGGCGACGGGAAAACGGGTGGCGCGCGGGGTACGGGGCACTACGAGACACGGATTGACGGGGCGCTACGGGCTAAGGCGCTTCGGGCTAGGGCGCTTCGGGCTAGGGCGCTTCGGGCTAGGGCACGTTACGGGGCGGTGGGCCCATGGGACCTTTTTATCGCTCTATACCATGTCAAGTTACAAAAATATAAGTTGACTAAGGAAAAGTGAAAACAAGCAAGATATAGCAAGCATAACCCTAACCCTAGGAAAACATGAAGTACACCTAGACTAACACAAATAAGCTATAACAAATATAGCTTGACAGTTATCACGGAAGAATCTTGGAACCGTGGTAGAATGCATCAATGTACATTGATGCGAGCTGATGCGCCCACAGAACGCAGCCAAACTGATTCGATGAACGCACTCTTATGAGTGGGAGGCAAAACAACTGAATGTCCTACGAGTGTCTACAACGAGGGTAAAATAGGCACACTCGAGCTAGGCGAGGACCTCGGAGCGAGGTTCGGAAACCGGCGAAAGGTCCGGAAGCGACTCGGAAGTGGTTCAAGGCGAAATTGTAGGCCGAACCAGTTGAAGCGAACTCTTCGGAAGATACAAGCCAAAATAATCTACAGAGAAAATAAATAAAAGTATAATTCCTTATGCAAACTCACCATAATGATCTTTGCTCTATGTAATATTTGGATTAACTCCAATAAATATCTTCGCAAATTCTATGAGTTTACTTGCCAAGTTCAACAATTTCAGGAAAACATTATCGCGCTACAACGAAACAAACTTAGCTCATCCAATGCAAATACATACCGTATCTTACGCATATCACTTCTAACCTTTTATGTGTACGCAAGCATTATTCCTTGAAGCCTATAGAAACCCTCTCACATCAGACCCCCGCCCGCCACCCCCCCCCCCCCCCCATCCTCCTCTCCCCTTTCCCCTCCCCACCTCTTACCTGTCCCAGGCACCTCCCGCTGCGCACCGCCTGCCCTACCTCTTTCAGCCCCGCCAGCAGGAGGGGGGTGGAGAAGGGGAGGGGAGAGGATTGATTTCCTTCAGGCCCACACAACCTGCTCCACATCCTTGCTAACTGTGCATGGGGGGCTGAAGTGGGAGGGGGAATGGGAGGGGGAGGGGGATGGGAGGGGGAGGGGAGAATCTTCTTCAGCCCTACACCGCTTGCCCCACCTCCTTCAGCCTGGTTAGCACGTGCCGCTGCCTCATTGCTCCCTGCTCCCATGCATCGTTGGGGGATTGAGGGGAAGACTGGAGGAGGAAAGGGGGGAGGGAGGGGACTGTGAGGTGGTGGGGTGGCACGTTGAGGTGAGAAGGAGACACTGTGAGGTGAGGGGTTGGGGAGGACTGTGAGGTGAGAGGGTGGCATGGGCATATCCTGAGAAAGTTGAGAAGGTGGGAACCGTCACCGCTCTGCATCGTACAATACCTCAACGGGAACAGCAAGAGGGCATGGGAACAGCAAGAGGGCATGGGAACAGCAAGAGGGCATGGGAACAGCAAGAGGGCATGGGAACAGCAAGAGGGCATGGGAACAGCAAGAGGGCATGGGAACAGCAAGAGGGCATGGGAACAGCAAGAGGGCATGGGAACAGCAAGAGGGCATGGGAACAGCAAGAGGGCATGGGAACAGCAAGAGGGCAAGGGAACAGCAAGAGGGCATGGGAACAGCAAGAGGGCATGGGAACAGCAAGAGGGCATGGGAACAGCAAGAGGGCATGGGAACAGCAAGAGGGCATGGGAACAGCAAGAGGGCATGGGAACAGCAAGAGGGCATGGGAACAGCAAGAGGGCATGGGAACAGCAAGAGGGCATGGGAACAGCAAGAGGGCATGGGAACAGCAAGAGGGCATGGGAACAGCAAGAGGGCATGGGAACAGCAAGAGGGCATGGGAACAGCAAGAGGGCATGGGAACAGCAAGAGGGCGTGGGAACAGCAAGAGGGCATGGGAACAGCAAGAGGGCATGGGAACAGCAAGAGGGCATGGGAACAGCAAGAGGGCATGGGAACAGCAAGAGGGCATGGGAACAGCAAGAGGGCATGGGAACAGCAAGAGGGCATGGGAACAGCAAGAGGGCATGGGAACAGCAAGAGGGCATGGGAACAGCAAGAGGGCAAGGGAACAGAAAGAGGGCATGGGAACAGCAAGAGGGCATGGGAACAGCAAGAGGGCATGGGAACAGCAAGAGGGCATGGGAACAGCAAGAGGGCATGGGAACAGCAAGAGGGCATGGGAACAGCAAGAGGGAATGGGAACAGCAAGAGGGCATGGGAACAGCAAGAGGGCATGGGAACAGCAAGAGGGCATGGGAACAGCAAGAGGGCATGGGAACAGCAAGAGGGCATGAGAACAGCAAGAGGGCATGGGAACAGCAAGAGGGCATGGGAACAGCAAGAGGGCATGGGAACAGCAAGAGGGCATGGGAACAGAAAGAGGGCATGGGAACAGCAAGAGGGCATGGGAACAGCAAGAGGGCATGGGAACAGCAAGAGGGCGTGGGAACAGCAAGAGGGCATGGGAACAGCAAGAGGGCATGGGAACAGCAAGAGGGCATGGGAACAGCAAGAGGGCATGGGAACAGCAAGAGGGCATGGGAACAGCAAGAGGGCATGGGAACAGCAAGAGGGCATGGGAACAGCAAGAGGGCATGGGAACAGCAAGAGGGCATGGGAACAGCAAGAGGGCATGGGAACAGCAAGAGGGCATGGGAACAGCAAGAGGGCATGGGAACAGCAAGCAGGAGCGGGGGAACAGCAAGAGGGCATGGGAACAGCAAGAGGGCATGGGAACAGCAAGAGGGCATGGGAACAGCAAGAGGGCAAGGGAACAGCAAGAGGGCATGGGAACAGCAAGAGGGCATGGGAACAGCAAGAGGGCATGGAAACAGCAAGAGGGCATGGGAACAGCAAGAGGGCATGGGAACAGCAAGAGGGCATGGGAACAGCAAGAGGGCATGGGAACAGCAAGAGGGCATGGGAACAGCAAGAGGGCATGGGAACAGCAAGAGGGCATGGGAACAGCAAGAGGGCAAGGGAACAGCAAGAGGGTATGGGAACAGCAAGAGGGCATGGGAACAGCAAGAGGGCATGGGAACAGCAAGAGGGCATGGGAACAGCAAGAGGGCATGGGAACAGCAAGAGGGCATGGGAACAGCAAGAGGGCATGGGAACAGCAAGAGGGCATGGGAACAGCAAGAGGGCATGGGAACAGCAAGAGGGCATGGGAACAGCAAGAGGGCATGGGAACAGCAAGAGGGCATGGGAACAGCAAGAGGGCATGGGAACAGCAAGAGGGCATGGGAACAGCAAGCAGGAGCGGCGCTTAGTGGGAGGGTCAGGGACGAGGGGAGGGTGGGAAGGGAAGGAGTTGGGAATGGGTGGGAAGGGAGCAGTGCAGGAGTTTGGGAGGATTGAACTGCTCACAGCCCCCCACTCCTCGTGACATCGCCTATCACACATCACCTTCACCCACTCTCCACACCCCCTTCTTTAACCCCCCCTGCATCCCCCTTTCGCCCCCCTTCACCAGTCCCTTGAGGGAATCTCACACACGTCTCCACCTCTCCCCCACTTCCTTCCCCCCCTTCCCTTCAACCCCTTTTCCGTCACCGCCCCTTCAACCCCTTTCATCCCCATTCACCGGTCTCTTGAGGGAATCTTACACGCGTCTCAACCCCTCAGAGCGTCTCAACCCCTCAGAGCACCTGAACTTTGCGAGTTCGACCTTGGTACCAGCAGCAGGCCCCCATTACCGCAAAGGTCAGCCCCCATGACGCTCTGGGGTTGCGATGCGAGTTCGACCCTAGCACCTGATGGGCCAGCCAGCCCCATCACCAGGCCCCCATTACTGCAAAGGTCAGCCCCCATTACCGCAAAGGTCAGCCCCCATTACCGCAAAGGTCAGCCCCCATTTCCGCAAAGGTCAGCCCCCATTACCGCAAAGGTCAGCCCCCATTACCGCAAAGGTCAGCCCCCATTACCGCAAAGGTCAGCCCCCAGTACCGCAAAGGTCAGCCCCCATTACCGCAAAGGTCAGCCCCCATTACCGCAAAGGTCAACCCCCATTAAAGCGACGGGCAACTTTTGGCAGTGTTGGGTTCAGAAGTTTTTTTTTTTAACCAGGCTTGCCAGCGCGAAAGTGCTGGCTGGCGAAAACCAGGATTTCGTGCGGACACTTTCCATCCGCAGTAACAGTTCGCCAGGGTTCTGGGTTTTGGGTGGCAAATGTGCACCGTCGCTTTAACGCAAAGGTCAACCCCCATTACCGCAAAGGTCAGCCCCCATTACCGCAAAGGTCAACCCCCATTACCGCAAAGGTCAACCCCTCAGAGCACCTGATGGGCCAGCCAGCCAGCCCCATCAGCAGGCCCCCATTACCGGCCCCTCGACCTTCTTCCCATTCTCCCTACCCGGTTAGTTTGGCCTTGGCGTAGTCTCTGCCTCCGCCAGCACGCTCCACCAGCGCCCTCCCCCTCTCTGCCTCCGCCAGCACGCTCCACCAGCGCCCTCCCCCTCTCTGCCTCCGCCAGCACGCTCCACCAGCGCCCTCCCCCTCTCTGCCTCCGCCAGCACGCTCCACCAGCGCCCTCCCCCTCTCTGCCTCCGCCAGCACGCTCCACCAGCGCCCTCCCCCTCTCTGCCTCCGCCAGCACGCTCCACCAGCGCCCTCCCCCTCTCTGCCTCCGCCAGCACGCTCTTGAGCAGCCTGTGCGCCCATTGTCGTCCAGAATGGCCAGGGCACTCACTTTACACCGAGGGCGATTCAGTGCCTGGCAGGGAGGGGAAAACGAGATTAGGTAGTGAGAGGCTATGGACGAGGGGCGCTTTCCAGGGGGGTGATGTGTGGGTGAGTGAGGCCACTGCAATGCAGGCTGTGCAGGCTGTGGCAGCTGTGAGGCCAGCAGGGAGGCCAGCAGGGAGGCCAGCAGGGAGGGGCTGAGAACAGGGGCTGAGAACAGGGGCTGAGAACAGGGGCTGAGAACAGAGGCTGAGAAAATGGGCTGAGAACAGAGGCTGAGAACAGGGGCTGAGAACATGGGCTGAGAACATGGGCTGAGAACAGGGGCTGAGAACATGGGCTGAGAACAGGGGCTGAGAACATGGGCTGAGAACAGGGGCTGAGAACATGGGCTGAGAACAGGGGCTGAGAACATGGGCTGAGAACAGGGGCTGAGAACAGGGGCTGAGAACATGGGCTGAGAACAGGGGCTGAGAACAGGGGCTGAGAACAGGGGCTGAGAACATGGGCTGAGAACAGGGGCTGAGAACAGGGGCTGAGAACATGGGCTGAGAACATGGGCTGAGAACAGGGGCTGAGAACAGGGGCTGAGAACATGGGCTGAGAACATGGGCTGAGAACAGGGGCTGAGAACAGGGGCTGAGAACAGGGGCTGAGAACAGGGGCTGAGAACAGGGGCTGAGAACATGGGCTGAGAACATGGGCTGAGAACATGGGCTGAGAACAGGGGCTGAGAACAGGGGCTGAGAACATGGGCTGAGAACAGGGGCTGAGAACATGGCAAGGCACATGGCGCCCATCGGTGGTGTTTGGGGGCTGGGCTCACAGCAACGTGCTAAGCTTCTGTTTGAGAATTCTAACAAAATACTGCGCGTGGTGTTCGGTGGGTAGCAAGTGGTTAGCTCAATACCTCACCTGCTGCTCGCCTCAGTTGCTGCTTGCCTCATCTGCTGCTAGCCTCATCTCCTCATCTCCCTCTCCCTCCCTCGCTTCCTCCCTCACTTCGATCCCCACACTCTCCTGTTCCCTCAACCCCTCCCCTGTTCCCCCCCATCCCCCTTCTCCCCACCCCCCTTCTCCCCATCCGCCTTCTCCCCATCCGCCTTCTCCCCGTCTCCCCATTCTCCCCCTCTCCCCCCCTTCCCTGCCTCGTCAGCACCACCGTGCGTTTCAAGCGCCTCACGCGCTTCTGCTTCGGCGTCTGCCTCTCCTTCCCCCGCCTCACGCCAATGCTCTCGATGCTGCTGCACTTGCGCGCACTCTCTCCCCTTCCCCACCTCTCCGCCTGCCATTCCTCCCCTCCTCCGCCCTCCTGCTCCGCCCCCTGCTCCCCTTTCTCCCACCCCTCGCCTCATTCTCGCCAAACCAAAGCCACGCGCCTCCGCATGCTCCCTCCTCCCTAGCCCTCTCCGCGCCTCCCCTCCCTACTCCGCCTCCCCTTCCCCCTCCGCCCGGCCCCATCTACGCTGCCGACCAGACTCTCGCGGAGGCGGCGGTAGAAGCGCGCGCGCAGCGGGAGTGGCGGCAGCGGCGGTGGCGGCGGAGGTGGCAGCGGCGGCGGAGGTGGCAGCGGCGGCGGCGGAGAAGAAGTGACCCCGGCGCAGCGGCGCTACTGGCGCGGGACTGACGAGGGCTTCCACCGCTTCTTCGCTGTGCCGCGGCAGCCACCACTCCGGCCTGTGCTGCTCGCAGCGACGCTGCTGCTGTCTCCGCCGTCACCGCTGCTACCGCCGCTAAAAGCCCCGCTTGCGCGCGCGTGCTTGCCCCACCCGCCATTCCTGCTGCTCCTCGCACCTCTACTTCCGCGGCTCTCCGCCATCGCGAATCGAACTTTGCCGCTCTCTCTCTCGTCGCCAACTGTCGCATTTTCGCCGTCAAACTGTTGCTGATTCGTCGCCTTCCGCGAATCGCTCGCGCCGCTGCATTCGCTACTCTCCGCCATAGCGAATCGGTCTAGGGTTCCTTTTTCGCTGTCGACAGACGCGGTTTCGTCGCTTTCCGTCGCTCTCTAATTGCCCTGTCTGTCGCTTCGACGCGACCGCTGTCGAGCCACTATCTGCCGCCTCAATTTTGCCCTCCCAGCCTTCACTTCAATGCGGCTCCTCCTGTGACCCAGCCCAGCAAGCGGCCCATATTTGCCGGGATGGTGGGCTGACGCAACTTTGGCTATTTCGAAACACGTGACTCGTTATGAATGCGAGTGCTGCAAAATTGAACTGAAATGCACTAAGATGAGAGAGCGAAAGAAAGCTACTGAATGCCCAATGGTTGTTCAAAACGAGAATATGGGTAGAGTCGAACTAGGCGAGGACCTCGGGTTTGCGAGGTTCGGAAGTCTGCCGAAAGGTACGGTGGCGACTTGTTCTTGGTTCGAGGCGAGCTTGTAGGCCGAACCAGCTAACTCGAGCGCTTCGGAACGAATTCGAACGGCTACAGTAACTAACGAACAATGTTAGCAGTAAATTAACAAGCTCAACAAAAAATCAACGTACTGTTTTCTAATAACCCAAAAAAGCGTATGATCCAAAGCGTAAAAAACGAACGTAGCTAATGATGCGAAATAACGTAATTCTAACACGTTTTTTGGGTTGCGTAGCAACCTTATACAATTGGTTTCACTTTTCAGGGAACTGACGTGAAGAGTGATTTCCCTCCATTTTTTTTTTTTTAAGAAACCCCTGTTTACGTAAGTTACCCTACAAGTGAAACCGAATGTGTCAAATCATCCAAAATCGTCGATAAGTACGGCGAATGGAAGAATTGGACAATCTCTCCGCACGAATGACGATACATGTGTACACATAAACTGTCACAAATTTGGCGATACCAAAGCACAAGCACGTGCAAAAAAACAAAACAAAACGAAAAAAAAAAAAAAAAGGACGCAATGAAACACAACCTTGTACGGAATACAATCCGTCAATATTGCAACAAGGATTGATATGGTACGGAAGAGGCAAGCAAAGCTGCCCCACCGACGATGACAACCTCCGTCGCAAACACGATGCATATAGCATCACAGCTCAAAACAAGCATAGACAAACAGTACAAAAGCGTGTACGAAACGAGAACAAAATGAACAAACACAAAACAAAACGAGAACAAAATATGCACACAAAACAAATCAAAACAAAACAAATAAAACAAAACAAAACAGAAAAATAATGGATGATTTGAGACGAATTGTCGTAGTAGGCTTAGAGGCGAGGAGAATGGCTTAGGAGTACGAGGGTAAGGAGAACCATGTCAAAGTAACTTAGGAACCATTAGTAGGGTTTTGGACTTAGGAGCTAGGAAAGTAGCGAGAGATTGGAGATGGCCAAAAGAGGGTTTTCAATATAGAGTTGGGAGTACAAATAGGAAAGAGAGAAAAGGGAAAAAGGAGAAGGATACATCACCAGCAGTTGAGCCTAATATCTAACTAATACACTAGCAAGCTGTAGACAGTTATAACAGGATATGAAAATATAGTTCAACACACCCCCGTAACTGTCTACGGCTTTAGCTAGTGGTGTCTGGCACCAGGACGCATGGAGGGCGGTTGCTATAGCTGAGATAGGCACAGAAATAGCGGTGGCTGATCGGCAGTACCTGTGAACGCCAGAACGGAGCAGAAGCAGGAGCAAGGCTGGGATAACCGGAGGGCGAAGGATGCTGGTTGTCAGAATCCCAACCACTAGACCATTAGGATAAAAGGGCTTTTTAAGTAGCGGGTCAGTGCGCCCATTGTCAGAATATTATGCTCTAGCCTGTAGTGGGGTGCTCTATAGCGAGTACAACCCTTCTAGGGTTTGCTATTTGTATCCTCATTCTTGCTAGTGCAACCCTCCTTCTTAATTCCTCTTAAACTTTCACATGCTATCAGAGCAGGTCGATCCCCTTGGATCGATCCTGTGGGTGGGCTCACCACCTCGTTGCTTCCGCTGCAACTTCCACTACTACCTTCTGTGCCGCACGCCCCGTGGCGTGCGGCAGTTTTTCTTCCCGCCGTGCGCCCCGAGGCGCGCGGCGGTTTTCTGCCCGCCGTGCGCCCCGTGGCGCGCGGCGGTTCTCTGCCCGCTGTGCGCCCCGAGGCGCGCGGCGGGCTTCTACCCCGTCACTCGCCGCGTCGCCCTCGGGAGGCGCTGCGACGGGCGACGGGGACCCGCGCGTCGCCCCCCGTCGCCCGTCGTGGCCTGCGCGCGGCCCGTACAGCCGGCGCGCGGCCCGTACGGGCTGCGCCAGGCCTGCGCGCGGCCCGTACGGGCTGCGCCAGACCCGCGCGCGGCCCGTACGGGCTGCGCCAGGCCCGCGCGCGGCCCGTACGGGCTGCGCCAGGCCCGCGCGCGGCTCGGGCCGCCTGCGCGCGGTTCGGGAGGCTGTGCCAGGCCCGTGGGCGGCCCTTTCCTCGCTGCCCCTGCCCTCCCCGCTGTCCCCCGTGCTTCTGCTGGCGCCCCACCCCTCCTACAGCCCGTTCTCCTGAATTAGGGTTTGGGGGTGAGGGGTATGGGGGTGAAACTACTGTGTGCCGTTCCCTGCTCCTCCTCCTCCTCCGTCTCCCTGTGCTGCAGCTGCCGCTGAGGGGGGGTGGACTTGTTGGAGCCGTTGGAGTGGTGCTAAGGGGGGGTGAAGGGGGAGTGGAGCTAGCGGTGTAGCAGCGGGTGTGTGTCAGGAGGGGTGGTACTGTTTGGGGGAGGTCGAGTGGAGGCAGCAGTCTTGTCGTCAGCAGCAGCAGCAGTCCGGAGGCTACAATCTCCGGTAGTCGCCAGTCGCCCGTGGGTCCGTTGCTCGTCTGCCGCTACTTTTAGCCGCGGGGCCAGTTACCCCAGTAGTCCGGAGCGTTGTTCCGGTAGCCACTGAGCCAGCAGCTCGTCTGTGTGTCTGCAGCGTCAGCAGTCGCCTCCCATCTTCTCTCCCCCACAGTCTCTCCTCCTCCTCACTTGCCCTTTGCGATAGCCTCTAGCTTTGCTCATAATTGTGAACTTTAAACTATTGCTACTTGAACTTGTGCTCAGAATGTGTGGTGACATTGTGATCCACCCTGAGCTTGTACTGCTTTGCTTGCTCTGCTGATTACACCCCACTTTGGCTATGGGGGTGTGTCAGAATATTATGCTCTAGCCTGTAGTGGGGTGCTCTATAGCGAGTACAACCCTTCTAGGGTTTGCTATTTGTATCCTCATTCTTGCTAGTGCAACCCTCCTTCTTCTTAATTCCTCTTAAACTTTCACACCCATACCCCCCCAGGCCAACATGCCTGTAACCCTTCCCTAGGATCAATCGGGGATCACCAGTGGACCTCTGACACCCCCTTGCACTGGGATGCCCGAAGTGCACACACTAGGAGTTCGAACCTGAGACCTTCGCTCTGATAGCATGTCAGAATCCCAACCACTAGACCATTAGGATAAAAGGGCCTTTTAAGTAGCGGGTCAGTGCGCCCATAACCCCCCATGCCAACATGCCTGTAACCCTTCCCTAGGATCAATCGGGGATCACCAGTGGACCTCTGACACTGGTCGCTCGCCATCTACGAGCAAACACAACTGTTGGTGAGGAGGAGGAAGCTGGTGGTGGTGCACAGGAGGAGAGCATAGGAGAGGCGGCTGGATGAAAGGAGATAGGAAAGGAGAGGAGAGGCGACTGGAGGAGAGGAGATGAAAGGAGGAGAGAAGGCTGCTGCTGGACTTTCACGCGACTTTCACGCCACCCCCTCACCCTCCCCTCCCCCATAGCGACAAGTGCTGCAGGGAGAGAAAGGAGAGAGAGGGACAGCTGGTGGCGGTTTGCTGGTCACCCCCGCCAACCCCTCACCCTCCCCCCCACGCCAGCAGGCGCGGTAGGGAGAGAGACGGGGCGTAGCGGCGCGCGGCTGCAGCAGAGGCTGCACGTGTGTCTGCTGCTGTGCGCGCGGGCGGCTGCTCCGCGTGCGCATGCAGCTGCGCGTGCGTTTGCGGCTGTTGCTGCGCGCACTGCTGTGCGCACTGCTACTGCGCACGCGGGCGACTGCTACGCGCACGGGCGTGCGCGTTGCTGCTCCGCGCGGCTGTGCGTGCTGCTGTGCGTGCAACTGCTGCTGTGCATGCTGCTGCTGTGCATGCGGCTGCTGTGTGACAGGGCGCGTGACGGGCTGCTGGCGCGTTTGCCACGGTCAATGGCACGTTCTCCACGGGCAGAACGCAGGACATAGGCATGACGGAAGTAGGTGGGCCCATTATCGAAAGGTCCGTAGGAACGTATGGCTCTTAATACCGTGTCGTGGTAGGCTTAGAAGCTAGGAGAATGGCTTAGGACTAGGAGGGTAAGGAGAACCATGTCAAAGTAACTTAGAAACCATAAGTAGGGTTTGCAAGATAGAGTTGGGAGTACAAATAGG